GCTGCTTTACTCGTCCTTGTAGCATCTCTTGCAACAAACTTCGCTGGTGAGCCATCCGTGCTTTGCATCGTAGGATCGTGCACGTCGCAAAGTTATTCAGATAGTTATGCCTTCCTTCTCTTTCTCCTTCCCCCACCTCCTCCTCCTTCTCCTCCACCCACTCCTCCTCATCCTCATCATAATCACCACCGTCATCATCATCATCATCATCATCATCATCATCATCATCATCATCATCATCATCATCATCATCATCATCATCGTCATCGTCATCGTCAACGTCATCACCATCATCATGACCACCACCACCACCACCACCACCATCACCATCATCATCATCAGCATAATCACCATCATCATCATCATCATCACCATCATCATCATCACCATCATCACCACCATCATCATTCACCCCAAGGGCGGCGCCGAAGCACTTGTCGGGCAGGGCGATCAGGAGCGAGGCTCTCAGGTCCATGTCCTGCCACGTTTCTCGGTGTGTGGGGATGGGGCAGGAGCGAAGTGCAGAGGTAAGGAGGGACTGCAGTAAACACGTACGATGCGGAATCTTGTGACAAGAAGTCTTGGGCACATGATTCGTCAATCTTTGAGAGCCCCATGTAGAGGGCAGAAAATACACCCCCATAATGATCACCCCGACACGCGAAGCCGTTCAGCAAACGCACCCACAGCAGGGAATCGAACAGGGCAAGGCTGTTTAGTAAACGCCCAGGGCCGTTTAGTAAACCCCAATTGTCGGGTCCGGGTGGTTGTTCCCCAACGCTTCTCTGGTCCCCTGATCATGGCCCCAACAGTTCCTCCCTTGATCACGGCCCCCCAACGCTTCTCTGGTTCCCTGGGGCCATGGGTTCAGAAGAACCTGCCGTGGTGGACCTGCTGGCAAGCCGATTTCGGACGTGGTGTGTCGACTTTGAGGATGAAGGGGAGGAGAAGCTCCCCAGTCCTCTCGTCCGGTGGGGCGGCGAGAGTGCGGAGAGGGGGGGGGGGAGATGGAGGGGCAGGCGGAGAGGGCGAGGGGCATTGGGAAGGGAAAGTGTGGGGCAGGGGGGAGGGGAGGAAAAGGGTGGAGGGGGGAGCGTGCGAGGTGGATGCGTCCGATGCTACATCGGCGACTCCGAAGGGTGTGGATTGCAGAGGGTGTGGCTTGCAACCGGCACCCTGGTGCGCACCCTGGGGTGCGGGCGGGGACCTCGATAGACGTTTTCGCCAGAAGCATCAATTTCAAAGCTATACGCCTCGGGTTGTACTTTCGGAGGAAAGCTCACGCGGAAACCCCATTTCGAAAATGAGCCTCGGGACAGAAGACCAAAAACAATCCCAAACGAGATCCGCGCTGGGACAATTATCTTCGTCCACGGGAGTAAATGGTGCGATCTTCTACGACACATGCGTGCGGAGCTGAGGCGGCAACCGCGTTTTGAACACCAATCACCTTCTTTCCGTGTAGGTGTGGCTCAATGAAAGAGATCTGTACGCGGAGCCAGAGGGAGCCACATGTAAAAACCATCCGGCCTCCAAGAGGATAAGGAGAAGGAGGAGGGCGGAGGAAAGACATGGGTAGGATAACCAAGAAGTCTGGCTGGTGAAGAGACAAGTCAATTACATACTTATGAGAACGCGGTGGAACAAAGGGGATGTTGATTCGAGATGGATACGACCTCGGTGCAAGCTCGTGACACCTCCTTTTCCTTCAACGGTCCTCCTCCCCGCGCTCCCGCTTTTCTTACTCTCCCTGATTCTGGGTTTCAGCAGATGGCTCCGGCCTTGGCTCCATGCCGCGCAGACTCTGTCTCCCTCTCACGCGCACACACTTGAACATCTCCTCCTCCTCCTCCTCCTCCTCCTCCTCCTCCTCCTCCTCCTCCTCCCCCTGCATTAACTCTTTGCTAGAACCAATGCCTCGGGACCACTTCAGAAGCTCTGAGCCGGGATCGCTTGCTCGGCAGGCGGCGCGAGATGCTGGCAGCTCCGCTGCCTCCAAGGCCGACTTGTCCTCTTTGATTGGTGAGCCGGCCCGCGCGCGCAGTGCCAGAGAGAACGCGCGGACGAATTGATTTATGCAGCCCCAGTGTTTGGTCGGGCCTGTCCCCCTACAGGGGGGTCTTGAACGGAAACAATTATCCTGGCGAAGGACCCAACCATAAGCAATTGTTCGTAACGCGTTGTGGGTGCCGCTTTCGGTGGGGATCCCTATGGGGCCACGAAGCGCTGCCCAGGGTGGGGGGAACCGCATGCGAACTGCGCCACTGGGGCGGGCCTTCGGTGGAGCTCCCTATGGGGCCACGAAGCGCTGCCCTGGGTGGGGGAACCGCATGCGAACTGCGCCACTGGTGGAGCTCCCTATGAGGCCACGAAGCGCTGCCCTGGGTGGGGAACCGCATGCTAACTGCGCCACGGGGGCCTTCGGTGGAGCTTCCGATGGGGCCACGAAGCGCTGCCCTGGATGGGGGAACCGCATGCGACAGCAGCCACTGGGGCCTTCGGTGCAAGTCCCTATGGGGCCACGAAGCGCTGCCCTGGGTGGGGGAACCGCATGCGAACTGCGCCACTGGGGCCTTCGGTGGAAGTCCCCATGGAGCCACGAAGCGCTGCCCAGGTGGGGGAACCGCATGCGAACTGCGCCACTGGGGCCTTTGGTGGAGCTCCCTTATGGAGCCACGACGCGCTGCCCTGGGTGGGGGAACCGCATGCGAACTGCGCCACTGGGGCCTTCGGTGGAGCTCCCTACGGGGCCACGAAACGCTGCCCTGGGTGGGGGGACCGCATGCGAGAGCAGCCACTGAGCCACTGGGGCCTTCGGTGGAGGTCCCTACGGGGCCACGAAAGGCTGCCCTGGGTGGGGGAACCGCATGCGAGAGCAGCCACTGGGGCCTTCGGTGGAGCTCCCTATGGGGCCACGAAGCGCTGCCCTGGGGGGGGAACCGCATGCGAGAGCAGCCACTGGGGCCTTCGGTGGAGCTCCCTATGGGGCCACGAGAGGCTGCCCTGGGTGGGGGAACCGCATGCGAGAGCAGCCACTGGGGCCTTCGGTGGAGCCCCTATGGGGCCACGAAGCCTGGGAACCGCATGCGAGAGCAGCCACTGGGGCCTTGGTGGAGCTCCCTTATGGAGCCACGACGCGCTGCCCTGGGTGGGGGAACCGCATGCGAACTGCGCCACGGGGGCCTTCGGTGGAGCTCCCTATGTGGCCACGAAACGCTGCCCTGGGTGGGGGAACCGCATGCGAGAGCAGTCGCTGGGGCCTCCGAGGAGCTCCCTTTGGGGCTACGAAGCGTTCCCCAGGGTGGGGGAGACGCATGCGAGAGCAGCAACTGTGGCCTTCGGTTGAGCTCCCTATGGGGCCACGAAGCGCTGCCCAGGGTGGGGAAACCGCATGCGAAAGCAACCACTGGGGCCTTCGGTGGAGCTCCTTAGGGGGCTACGAAATGCTGCCCATGGTTGGGGAAACGCAAGCGAGAGCAGCCACTGGGGCCTTCGGTGGAGCTCCCTATGGGGCCACGAAGCGTTGCCCATGGTGGGGGAAACGCACGCGAGAGCAACCACTGGGGTCTTCGGTGAAGCTCCCTATAGGGGCTGCGAAACGCAACGCATGCGAGGACAGCCACTGGGGCGTTCGGCGGAGCTCCTTATGGGGCCACGAAGCGCTGCCCAGGGTGGGGGAAACGCATGCGAAAGCAACCACTGGGGCCTTCGGTGGGGCTCACTATGGGGCTACGAAGCGCTGTCCAGGGTGGGGGAAACGCATGCGCGAGCAGCCACTTGGGCCTTCGGTGGAGCCCCCCATGAGGCCACGAAACGCTGCCCAGGGTGGGGAAATCGCATGCGAGAGCGACCACTGGAGCCTTCAGTGGGGCTCCCTATGGGGCCACGAAGCGTTGCCCAGGGTGGGGGAAACGCATGCGAGAGCAACCGCTGGGGCCTTCGGTGGAGCTCCCTATGAAGCTACGAAGCGCTGCCCAGGTGGGGGAAACGCATGCGAGCGCAACCACTGGGGCCTTCGGTGGAACTCCCTATAGGGCTACGAAGCGCTGCCCTGGGTGGGGGAACCGCATGCGAGAGCAGCCACTGGGGCCTTCTGTGGAAGTCCGTATGGGGCCACGAAGCGCTGCCATGGGTGGGGGGAACCGCATGCGAGAGCAGCCGCTGGGGCCTTCGGTGGAGCTCCCTATGGGGCCACGAAACGTTGCCCTGGGTGGGGGAAACGCATGCGAGAACAACCACTGGGGCCTTCGGTGGAGCTCCCTATGGGGCCACGAAGCGCTGCCCAGGGCGGGGGAACCGCATGCGAGAGCAGCCACTGGGGCCTTCGGTGGAGCTCCCTATGGGGCCACGAAGCGCTGCCCAGGGCGGGGGAGGGGAAGCGCATGCGAGAGCAGCCACTGGGGCCTTCGGTGGAGCTCCCTATGGGGCCACGAAACGCTGCCCAGGGTGGGGGAAACGCATGCGAAAGCAACTGCTGGGGCCTTCGGTGGAGCTCCCTATGGGGCTACGAAGCGCTGCCCAGGGCGGGGGAAACGCATGCGAGAGCAACCACTGGGGCCTTCGGTGGAGCTCCCTATGGGGCCACGGAACGCTGCCCAGGGTAGGGGAAACGTATGCGAGAACAACCACTGGGGCCATCGGTGGGGCTCCCTATGGGGCTACGAAGCGCTGCCCAGGGTTGGGGAAACGCATGCGAGAGCAACCGCTGGGGCCTTCGGTGGAGCTCCCTATGAAGCTACGAAGCGTTGCCCGGGGTGGGGGAAACGCATGCGAGAGCAGCCACCTGCCCAGGGTGGGGGAGGGGAAACGCATGCGAGAGCAACCACTAGGGCCGGTGGAGCTCCCTATGGGGCCACGAAGCGCTGTCCAGGGTGGGGGAAACGCATGCGAGAGCAACCGCTGGGGCCTTCGGTGGAGCTCCCTATGGGGCTACGAAACGTGTGAGAGGTGTGCCATAGGGGACTCCACCGAAGCCCCCAGTGGGACCGCCCACATGCGTCCTACACACCCAATTTGGCAGTTTCACCCGCCCAGTGCAATGTTTCGTGGCCCCATAGGAAGCTCCACCGAAGCCCCCAGTGGGACCGTCCGCATGCGTCCCGCACACCCAATTTGGCATTTTCGCCCTCCTCCTCATGCTCATCCACCTTCCTCCTCCTCATTCTCGCCTCCTCCTCCTCGCACCCAAAACCTTCGGGGCCTTGTTGATTAGAGCTCGAAAAAAGCTCTTGGATGCATCTTTGAAAACCTCTTCGGGGCTTCTTCAGAATCTTCACGGCCGTTTTCGGGCCCTCTGGAGCCGTCCCAAGGCTCTTTGGGTCCGTCTTGGGGGTCTTGGGCCTGCTTGGGGCACTCTTGGGGCCCTCTTGGGAGCCTCCTGTGGCCTCCTTGCGCCTCTCCCGGGAAGCGCTGCAACTCTGTGAGGTCCTCCTTGGGCCGTCTTGGGGCTCTCTTGGGCTGTCCTGAGGCGCTCTGAAGCCGTTTTGAAGCCTCTTGAAAGCCTCTGGAAACGTTTTGGGGCCGCCGCTCCCTGCAGCTCCGCACTGCCGACGACCTCTCGGCCAGGCCACCGCGGTGCGCAATATGGGCCGGCGGAATGAGCGAAGCGATTAAGTAAACACACCCAGATCAGACCTCGCGGCTCCTTAGTGGGCTGCGAACTGCGCAACTGTCGCCGCTCTCGTGGGCTCCTGCGAACTCCAGCGGAGTGGTGTCATACGCCCAGACCAGACCTCGTCGGGGGTTGCGAACTGTCAAATTGTCGCCTCTTTCGTGGGCTCCTGCGAACCCCAGCGGAGTGGTGCCAGACCTCGCGGCTCCCTCGGTGGCTGCGAACTGCGCAACTGTCGCCACTCTCGTGGGCTCCTGCGAACTCCAGCGGGGTGGTGTCATACGCACACCCAAGCTAGACCTCGCGACTCCCTGAGGGCCTGCGAACTGTCAAACAGTCGCTTCTTTCGTGGGTTCCAGGGAGGTCCAGCGGAGTGGTGTCACACGAACACCCAGACCAGACCTCGCGGCCCCCTCGGGGGTTGCGAACTGTCAAACTGTCGTCTCTTTCGTGGGCTCCTGCGAACCCCAGCGGAGTGGTGTCATAAACACACCCAGACCAGACCTCGCGGCTCCCTCGGTGGCTGCGAACTGTCAAACTGTCGCCACTTTCGTGGGCTACTGGGAGGTCCAGCCGGGTGGTGTCATACGCACATCCAGACTAGAGAGACCTCGCGGCTCCCTCATGAGCTGCGAAGTGCGCAACCGTCGCTAGTCTCGTGGGTTCCAGGTCTAGCGGAGTGGTGTCATACGCACGCCCAGACTAGACCTCGCGGCTCCCTCGGGGGCTGTGAACTGCGCAACCGTCGCGATTTTCGTGGCTCCTGAGAGGTCCAACGGAGTGGTGTCATACGAACACCCCGGCTAAACCTCGAGGCTCCCTCGGTGGCTGCGGCCTTCGCAACTGTCGCCACTTTCGTGGGCTCCTGCGGAGTCCAGCGGAGTGGTGTCATAAGCACACCCAGACCAGACATCGCTGCTCCCTCGGGAGCTGCGAACTGTCAAACTGTCGCCACTTCCATGGGCTCCTACGAACTCCAGTGGAGTGGTGTCGTACGCACGCCCAGGCTAGACCTCGCGGCCTCCTGGGGGGCTGCGAAGTGTCAAACTGTCGCCACTTTCGTGGGCTCCTGGGAGGGCAACTGTCGCCACTTTCGTGGGTTCCAGGGAGGTCCAGCGGAGTCGGGGGCCACGGGGATCCAGCCGAGACCTCGCGGCTCCCTAGGAGGCCATGACGTACGCAACTGTCGCCATTTCGGCTCCTGGGAGGCACGGCGGAGACGATGCCAGCGCAGATAGTGCATATCAAGCGATGCGCTCTTTTGTATGGTGCGTTCATACAAATATTCGCCGCGCGTGTGAAAAGGGTTTTACGCAGCAGCGGAAGTAATGACAGCTTCTGCAACAGGAGAGCCTGGACCTCGTCGTGGTCCTCGTCGTGGTTGTCTTGAGCTGGAACTTCTTCCCCCCAAAGCTGATGCGGAGGGGGCGAAGGAACAATCATCCGGACGAGGAGGGGGAGAAGATGAGAAAGAGGAGGAGGAGGAGAAAGAGGAGGAGGAGGAGGAGGAGGAGGATGAGGAGGAGGACCAGGAGGAGGAGGAGGAGGAGGAGGCGGAGGCGGAGGCGGAGAAGGATGATGATGATGATGATGATGGTGGTGATGATGATGATGATGAGGAGGAGGAGGATGAGGAGGGGGCGGAGGAGGAGAGGGAGAGGGATTCTGATGATGCCGCTGCTGCTGCTGATGATGCTGCTGCTGATGTTGCTGATGCTGCTGATGATGATGATGCTGATGCTGCTGCTGATGATGCTGATGCTGATGCTGATGCTGATGATGATACTGATGATGATGATGATGATGATGATGATGATGGTGGTGGTGGTGGTGATGATGCTACTGCTGCTGATGATGATGACGATGATGCTTATGCTGCTGCTGATGATGACGAGGAGGAGGACGAGGACGAGGAGGAGGAGGAAGGAGGAGGAGGAGGAGGAGGAGGAGGAGGAGGAGGAGGAGGAGGAGGAGGAGGGGAGGGGAAGGGGAGGGTCAGGAGGGTCAGTTGGGTCAGGAGGATGAGGAGGAGACGGAAGATGAGGAAGAGTAGGAGTAGGAGTAGGAGTAGGAGTAGGAGTAGGAGTAGGAGTAAGAGTCAAGCTAGCCAGCTCGAGCGAGTCAAGCATGGCATGCCCAGTCCCGCCCGCCCTCCCACAACATAAGAAGCAAAGCTGGCACAACTGGGGGCCGAAGTCACACCGGCCAGCCGGTTTGGTACAGCTGATGCGGCCGCGATGGCGGTTGCCGACGGGAACTGGCGAGCGCGTGTTGAATGCCGCGCACGCATTGCCAGACGAGTCGAGAATGGCCCGGTACACCGCAGGAAGCCAGAGGTGGCCGGAGGAAGCCCGACGGTCTGACAGGACACCCCAAAGCATTTTTGTGAAAAAGCATTGGGTTTTTGATGTTTTTATGTTGAAATGCTTGCAAAAACACGGTATTCGGTAGGATTCTGACATGAACGCGCGAGTGTGCTCTTTGTAATATTTTTTGCACAGGATTCGCGGCCTGGGTGCATGACAGAGCATCGCGAGTGCACCGCGCGATGACGTGAAATCGCTGGATTTGACCGAATTCTTAAGATTCCTATGGTTTTCCTATGATTTCAGCAAGAGAGCCCGGGCGGGAAATTTGTACATTTTTGTGAAAAAGCATTGGGTTTTTGATGTTTTTATGTTGAAATGCTTGCAAACACACGGTGTTCGGTAGGATTCTGACATGAACGCGCGCGTGTGCTCTTTGTGGTATTTTTTGCAATGGATTATCGCCGTGGACGACAGGACGTCCATGTCGAGAGGAAAAAATAAGAAACATGTTGATTTTGTATTGTTTTTTACAGGTTAGGATGGGACCACCCGGATGCGCCCTATCTGCCGGCCTGAGGGGGGAGTAGGAGTATATTCTAATAAGGAATAAGGATAGGAAGAGGAGGAGGAGGGGGCGGAGGAGGAGGAGGAGGAGGAGGAGGAGGAGGAGGAGGAGGAGGAGGAGGAGGAGGAGGAGGAGGAGGAGGAGGAGGAGGAGGAGGAGGAGGGGGGAGAAGAGGGGCGAGACGGGCAGGACGACCAGGATGAAACGGAGAGAGCTCCCCGCCTCCTTCGCCTTCAGCGGCCGCTCGACGGGCTGCTCTTGTTCTGGGGCATCCACCTGCGCGTACCCTCGTCCTCTTCATCTCCAGGAGGAGCGGGCAGGGGGATAGGGTAGGTCAACGTTTCATTCGGCTTTTCGACATTGTGCGGAAGGGGAGGGAGGGGCGAGGGGGGGGTGTCTGGCTCCGGACCTCTGCTTAGTGCGACTGTTTGCAGCAATGCGTCCTATGGGGGAGACTCCGCCTGCTCGAAACAAGCGCCAACATGATCGACCCACGAACCCGGAAAGGAATATAGAAATGTAACGCGTGGCAGCGTTTTCAAAGACGCCTGATTGGGTGACGGGCAAATGCAATGCTGAGTGTATCGATCTTGATGTACCCTGCCGAGGGCTGTGTTGTGCTGCACCGTGCTGAATTGCGATGTGCCATGCCGCGATTGTGCTCTATAGCGTCGTGGATCGAGTCCTCCTTTGCATCCGAGTCCTGACCGAACTGATCTGGCTCTTAAGCTCGAGCTGCCTGAACACATAGTAGCTGCCCCAGAGCAAAGTGACAAGGGGGCATGCCAGGAGGACGCGCCGCGAAACGTCCCAAGGGACGCACCAGGCGACGTGCCAGGGGACGTGCCATGGGGTCGCACCGCGGGACGTGCCAAGGGGACGCGCTACGGAACGTGCCAATGGATGTGCCACGGGATGTGCCAGGGGACGCGCCACGCGACGTGCCAAGGGGACTCGCCAAGGGACGCCCCACGGAACGTGCCAAGGAACGTGCCAATTTGCAATGCTGAGTGTATCGATCTTGATGTACCGTGCCGAAGTCTGTGCTGTGCTGCACCGTGCTGAATTGCGATGTGCCATGCCGCGATTGTGCTCTATAGCGTCGTGGATCGAGTCCTCCTTTGCATCCGAGTCCTGACCGAACTGATCTGGATCTTAAGCTCGAGCTGCCTGAACACATAGTAGCTGCCCCAGAGCTAATTGACAGGGGGACATGCCAGGAGGACGCGCCGCGGAACGTCTCAAGGGACGCGCCAAGCGACGTGCCAGGGGACGTGCCATGGGGTCGCACCGCGGGACGTGCCAAGGGGACGCGCTACGGGACGTGCTGGGGACAAGCGTTTCACTCGAGACATCCTGTCAAAATCCTCATGCTAGACATCCGCCTGAGCGACCTGGACACGTGAAAACAAGCGTTTCGCTCAACTGATCCTCAACACATTCTCATGCTAGACATCCACCTGGGCGAACTGGACACGTGAAAGCAAGTGGTTCGCTCGAGACATCCTCAACACATCTTCATGTGACACGTCCGCCTGGGTGACCTGGGCACGTGAAAACAAGCGTTTCGCTCGAGACGTTTTCAACACCTCCTCATTCTAGAGCTCCGCCTGGGCGACCTGTACACGTAAACGCAAACGCCTCGCTCGAGACATCCTCAACACATCTTCATGTTAGACATCCGCCTGGGCGACCTGGACACGTGACAACAAGCATATCTCTCGAGACATTCTCAACACATCCTCATGCTAGGCATCCGCCTGGGCAACCTGGACACGTGCAAACAAGCATCTCGATCGAGACTTCCTCAACACATCCTCATGCTAGACATCCGCCTGGGCGACGAGGACGCGTGAAACCAAGCGTCTCGCTCGAGATATCCTCAACAAATCCTGGCGCTAGACCTCGGCCTGGGCAACCTGGAGGCGTGAAACCAAGCGTCTCGCTCGAGACATCCTCAAGATTTGGGCACGTGGAAACAAGCATTTCACTTGAGAGATCCTCTGAAGTCTGGTCACCAGGAGAGGACAATCTATAACACAAAACAAGTCGAGACATCCTCAACAAATTCTGAAAACCAAGCGTTTCGCTCGAGACATCCTCAAACAAAATTCCGCCGGCCCTAGGCGACCTCGTTATTTTTCGCAAAATAATATCGCCGGCCCTACAGCCGTCAAAACTGGGGGTAAACACTGAAAGAGAACCCTGGGCCTAAGCCCTTTCCGGGAAAAACAGCCACTATCTACTCCAGGGGGGGAGGGGGGTGCGAGGGCCCGCGCCGATCGGCAAAGCAATGAATAAGAAAATTATCCCTAGGGTCACGCCCCTGTGGGCCGATGCGTGCAGTTGTGCCCCCCCTCCGCCGAAGGCAGGGCCATGCGAGAGGAGAAGTCCATAGCCATGTCAAGCTCGCCCCCCCCCCCCCCCCGTGGGACAAGAGTCGCTCCCTGCCCCCAGGCCAGCTCCTGAGGAGGAGGAGGAGGAGGAGGAGGAGGAGGAGGACGGCGGAGAGGAGGGAGGGAGGGAGGGAGGAAAGGAGGGAACTGACGTCGCCGAAAGCCGATACCGGAGCACCGACGTGCCGCCGCTCGGAGGCTGCCGTGGGGCTCCCGCTGCCGCCACTTGGGCCTGGGCCCTCCGGGGGGCGAAGAGAAACCGCGCGAGGGCACGGCAGGAAGCCTGCCTGCTGCTTCGGGGCAGCAGGGGGAGGAGGAGGAGGAGGAGGAGGAGGAGGAGGAGGAGGAGGGAGGAGGAGGAGACGGAGGAGGAGGAGGAGGAGGAGGAGGAGGAGGAGGAGGAGGAGGAGGAGGAGGAGGAGGAGGAGGAGGACCGCCTCGGACTTCCTCGTCGGTGCTCGGCGGCTTTCCAGCCCCGGGGTGCCGTCCGGCGACCGCGCCTCGCCGAGAGCGGTCTCGGGGTGCCTGGCTCGCCCCGAACGGCTGCCCGGGTGGTCCCGGGCGGCTGCCCGGAGGCCCGAGGTAGGACCCGAAGGCAGGCAGCACAAAGACAGGCTCACGGGGGGAGGAGCATCGACCCGGAGTCGGGGCAGATCGGCGATGGGGCCCCGACAGCGAAACCGCACGGCCCTGGGCGGGGGGCGGGCTATGAAGCCTGAGGTCGGGCCTGTCCCCCTACAGGTGAAAAATCAAAGATGCTCACAAAATGCCCGTAAACAGTCAACACACTGTCAAAACATCGTCCCTGGACTATTTTCGACTATTTTGGTATATTCCTCCTGCAAAAGGACATGCCCGACTTAAATCAAGCCCCTCTCGGCGACCAACTGGCGATTGGGGGCCGACGCACCCCCCCTCAGCCTGTCCCCGCCTAACGTTGCCACTGAGCAGGAGTCAAACATCGACCGCTGGACCTCTCCCGGGGGTGTGTGCTGGCCAGATCTCGAGGCGGATCCAGACGTGGCCGCGGGGGCGCACCGGGACGAGCCAAAACCTCGAGAAAGGCAGCCTCGATCTTCCAACACCTAAGCCTATATCTCCTATCGCCCCCCTCGGCCTGCGAGGTCAACGACTCGATCTGCTCGTCGCGCTGCCGCAGCAGGTCGTGTAGGCCCTCGACCTGCGAGGCCAGCGACTGGAGGAACAGGAGGAGGGTCAGGAGGATCAGGGGAGGAGGAGGAGGAGGAGGAGGAGGAGGAGGACGAGGAGGAGGAGGAGGAGTCGGATGAGGAAGAGGAGGAGGAGGGGGCAGAGGGGGAAGAGGAGGAGGAGACGAAAGATGAAGCTGCTGCTGCTGCTGCTGATGATGATGAGGAGGAGGAGGAGGAGGAGGAGGAGGAGGAGGAGGGGGTGGAGGAGGAGGAGGCGGAGGAGGAGGAGGAAAATGATGTTGAGGAGGATGCGGATGAGGATGAGGATGAGGATGAGGATGATGCTGATGCTGATGCTGATGATGCTGCTGATGATGCTGATGATGCTGCTGATGGTGATGCCGCTGCTGCTGATGATGACGGTGATGCTGATGACGATGCTGCTGCTGCTGCTGCTGCTGCTGATGATGATGATGATGATGATGATGATGATGACGAGGAGGAGGGGGAGGAGGAGGAGGAGGGAGAGGAGGAGGAGGAGCACGAGGAGGATGAGGAGGAGGAGGAGGAGGAGGTGGAGGGGGAGATGGAGTGGCGGAGGAGGAGGAGGCGGAGGAGGAGGAGGCGGAGGAGGAGGAGGAGGAGGAAGAGGAGGAGGATGAGCTCAGATCCCGCAGGCTCTCGACCTGCGAGGCCAGCGACGCGATCTGCTCGTCGCGCTGCTGCAGGGCCTCGCCGGCCCGCAAAACGAGAGGCTCAGGGGGCCGCGCGCCCCTCTGCGCTCGCGGTCCGGACTGGCATCGTGCAGCTTGGGGCTCGGCGGCGGGGAAAGGGTGATGGTGTCAGGAGGAGCCTGAGGAGGGTCAGGAGGATGATGATGACGAGGAGGAGTCGGAGGAGGAGGACAAGAGAGGAGCAGGAGGGGGGAGGGGGGAGCAGGAGGGTCGGGAGGATGGGGGTGATGATGGTGATGATGATGATGATGATGATGATGATGATGATGATGGTGATGATGATGATGCTGATGATGATGATGATGATGATGATGATGATGACGAGGAGGAGGAGGAGGAGGTCGGTTGAGGAGGAGCAGGAACAGAAGGATGAGAAGGAGGAGGATGAGGAATTTTGACGAGCGCCCTGCCAGCCACCAGCCTTACTCCCTGATGGGAATAGTCTCCATCCGAATGGATTCCTTCGGGTGCCAGCCTCGCGTCGCTCTGGCGAAGTACTCGTGGGCCTTGGCGCGAGGACATGTGCACTCACCTCGGAGTTTCCGAAACTGTCTAAGAATGGAAGAAGCGCGGCACCTCGTGCGCGTGATCAGAAAATGATCATCGGCCATCTCCAATGCGAGGCTGGTGTGACCGCGTACAGTAGGGGCGTTGACCCAAGGAACCCTAAATAAGGAACGAGGCCACTTTTCCCCATAAGTTCAACCTCGATTTCCGATGGAAAACCTCAGGAAAACCCGAGGCAAACTTTGAAACAATCAAGGAACACCGAGCCCCTCCCCAACGAAAAGGGTTCCTTCTTCAAGACCCCTACTGTACGGCGACAGACAGCGCAAGTGGGGGCAGGTTATCCGCGCAGCCCTCGTTCGACGGACCCGCGGCCTGCCTGCGACACTTGCGGCGCATGCCGCTACGCGCCAGAAAGTTCTGACCTCCGTTCGCGCTCCCCTGCAGCGGTGGGGGTGGAGTTCCTGGGCGCCCCTGGGGGGCCTCGTAGGGATCCTCCTCCTCCTCGTCCTCCTCCTCCTCCTCCTCCTCCTCCTCCTCCTCCTCCTCCTCCCCCCCCTCCTCCTGCCGCGGCCACGGCGGAAGACGACGAGGAGCGAGGCGGGAGGCATTGCGGGAAACTCTGAGCCGCCAGACGCGGTGCTCCTTCTCGTCGGCAGAGAACCTCGGATGCATGGCCGTTCCGAGCGTGGCTGAACGATCAGCCTCGTCGTTACCTTCTTTCAGGAAGCGGTCCTGGACCGAGAGGTCCCCCGACTCGGCCACATGGGCCTTGACCTTAACCACGTTGGAAAAAAGGAGCCCAAATCTAATCAATCATGAGGCCTGCGTAAGGCCTTTAGTTCGACGGCATCTTAGCACGTCGAACTTACAGGCCTTGCAGACACTGAGACAATCGCTGACACCAGCAGAAGACTCGGTGGGGAACATGATCGACCCACGAACCAAGAAAGGAATATAGAAATGATAAGCATGGAAACGTTTCACGACACCCACTTGGCCGACGGGCAATTGCAGTGCTCAAGGTAACGATGATGATGATGTACCGTGCCACGGGCTGTGCTGTGCCGTGCTGTGCTGAGTTGAAATGTGTCATGCCGCGTGGAACTGTGCCGCGCGCTATTGCATTGTGGATCAAGTCGTCCTTGACGTCGGAACCCTGACCGAACTGATTTGGATATTAAGCTCGAACTGCCTGAATTCATAGCTCGGGCTCAGCAGCTCTTCAAAAGAAGATGAATACACCGAGGAGAAGGAGCTTAAGATCCAAATCAGTTCGGGCAAGACTTCGGCCCCGAGAGGCCCCCGCGGGCTCATTGATGGCCATGAATATGGTGGCGGCGGGTGATGCGGAGAAGTCAACCAACTGGGCCACCTCAGGACCACCATGTTAGATACCCCCTGGGCCAGCTCAGGACCACCATGTTAGATATCCTCCTGGGTGGCCCGGACACGTGAAAACACGTGATTCCAGCTCGGGACCACCATGTTAGATACCCTGGGTGGCCTGAACACGTGAAAACACGTGGTTCCAGCTCGGGACCACCATGTTAGATACCCACCTGGGTGGCCTGGACACGTGAGAACACACGGTTCCAGCGCAGGACCACCATGTTAGATACCCCCCTGGGTGGCCTGAACACGTGAAAACACGTGGTCCCAGCTCGGGACCACCATGTTAGATACCCACCTGGTGGCCTGAACACGTGAAATCACACGGTTCCAGCGCAGGACCACCAGGTTAGATACCCCCCTGCGTGGCCTGGACACGTGAAAACATGTGGTTCCAGCTCGGGACCACCATGTTAGATACCCCCCTGGGTGGCCTGAACACGTGAAAACACGTGGTTCCAGCTCGGGACCACCATGTTAGATACCCCCCTGGGTGGCCTGAACACGTGAAAACACGTGGTTCCAGCTCGGGACCACCATCTTAGATACCCCCATGTCTGGCCTGGACATGTGAAAACACGTGGTTCCAGCGCGACACCACCGTGTCAGATACCCCCCCCTGGGTGGCCTGGACACGTAAAAACACGTGGTTCCAGCTCGGGACCACGTGCAAATTCACACTTTACCACGTAATTTATCGCAGAATAATTCCGCCGGCCCTACTCCCGCACGTAATTTATTGCAGAATAATTTCGCCGGCCCTACAGCCGTCGAAACCGGGGGGAACCAACTAAAAGAGAACCCTGGGCTCGAGCCCTTTCCGGGAAAAAGGCCCCGAACTCAGCTGCTTGGGAGGTCCGGGGGAACCCGTCCCAAGGGAACGGGGCCGCATGCGAAGGGCCAAGTGGTTGCTGGAAGCGTAAACTGCTACCCTGCCCTGCTGAGTTCCCTCACTACATGCCCTGGCACGACCCGTCCATGAACGCCTTGCCCGTGCTGGAGATCCTGAGGCTGAGGTCCTGACAATGTCTGGTGAAAGCCTGGACTGCTTGAGCTGTCTTCTCTATAACTATCGAGTCCTTGCCTACTGCGAATTGGCTACAATCGTCTACCCAGCTTTGGACTTCTACAGGCCTGAAATTCGCATGAAGGTCTGCTAGCATCTCCCAAAGCGTGAGCCTGGACATATCCACGCTCTGCGAGCATCCAGCGAGAATGCCTGAGAAGGCCTCTATCGGCTCAGAGACGACCCCCCCCGGCCTGACACCTCCGAACCCCGAAGTGGAGGCTGAGACCGAGGAAGAGGTGAGTGAGGGGATAATCGACCTTGGCTCCTACATGCCAAAGCTGTTCTGGATCTATAGTGTCATAGAACTTCTCTAGATCCCAGAGCACTTCACTCCAGGCGAAATGCTGCAGGCTGGCTATTTTCCAACTTCGTCTGTCTCAGGATGGTTGCCCTGAGTGAGCTGGAGCCCGCAACTGCCTTGTCCCAGAACTGTACTTTTTCTGCTGACCAGTCCGCCATATGCCAGCGTCTGATCCGCGACCAGGCTCGGTAAACTCCCTGGGTCAGCGTGATGGGCCTGTCGGCCTGCTCACACTTAAACATCAGCTGGGCCAGGTTAATTAGATTCTGATCTGGCCATCGCAAAGTTTGCTCAACCAAGTTGAGCAGGAAAGTTAAGTGGACTAACGCTTCTTGCGGGAGTTGAAGCCACCACCGTGGGTGGACCTTGTCTACTCCCGTACCGATGACGGGCCTGAAACATTTCAAACTGGCTTGCACTTCTTCGACTGTCATGGGGTCTAGGGTGAGGCTGTGAGCTTTGGCCGCGCATTTAAAATCCTGCCACCAGCTCTGGTCCTGTGGCCGCCCCTTACCCCTGCCCCAGAAGCCCATCCAGAAATTGGCTTTCTGCTGGACAGCTTCAATGGGTTCAACAATGGCGGCCCCAGAGGTGTCATGCTCTACCGAAATGGTCTTCTCTGGGGTCCCCCAACTCTTAGTGTGCCTGTGCACAGCTCCAGCCCCTTTCTTCAAAGAGGTCTGCGCCCACTCCTTAAAACTCTTGGAGCTCGCTCGGACATAATGGCTTTCAGTCGCTTTGATGAGACCGTCGGCCGACTTGGCCTTCCGACGCAGCTGCTCCTCACCAAGACTACCAAGGGGGTCGCCAGGATCGCGCGAGGTCTCGAGGAAGGTTTTACCAGCGCCACTTTTTAAAAGCTGAGGTTGGCCATCCAAGCCCCCCCCCCCCCCCCCTCAGCTTCCGCATGCTCTCCGCCACCCCTAAACTAGCGCCCCCGTCCCGCCCTTTCCTCTTCAGGCCTATTAAATTGTGAAGTCTAGCGCCTAGACAACTCCATTGGGCTAGGAGGTTCGACTCCGCTAACCAGCCTTGGGGCTTGGTCGGTTGAACGGGGACTAGTTTCGTGGTAGGGTACTCTCCTCTCAGGAACGACACTGCTGGGGCAAAAACGCCTTGTCTCCCCCAGAGCAGGCTGCCAGTCGCCATCGCGAACCCCATGTAGACGTGGTCCACGTCCCCCAGCTTGCGCTGCTTCAGGTTGCCGTGTCGCATGCCTTTGCCAATGCGCTGCTGTACCACCTCGAGGTGATACTGCCAAGGTCGATCTGGTCCAAACGCCAACTGGCACTCCATCGGCTGCTCCATGATCCGCTTCATGAGCTTCTGGCCGCCGACCTTGAGCGTTCCCTTGATGCCGACATGTGGTGACGCCCAAGGACCTTCCAAGTCCCACTCGAGCTTAACCATGTGCTTGATGCTGCTTGCTACCAGGCAGTAATCGATCAGTCGATGGCCTCCAGGGTGATCTCCAGTCGGTGCCATCCAGCTACCGTCCAGGTACGTTGAAATAAGCATCTGATCTACTTCCTCCATTTCCATGTTCCAGTCTGCCATGATGAGAAAGGGTCGGCCTCGGACTTTGAGGTAAGTGGCCACTGCTGAAAGGACCTCGACGTTGGGTCCTGCCAATCCTACCCCACTGGCCAGGTACATCACCACAAAAATGACATCGCCAACGTCTTGCATCCTGAGAGTGATGGCCGTCCACTGGTCTATGTCCGTCTT